GTGCACCCACAGCGGTGCCCCACAGCTCTGCCCCACAGCTCTGCCCCCACAGCCCTGCCCCACAGCCGTGCCCCACAGCTCTGCCCCCACAGCTCTGCACCCACAGCGCAACACACAGGAGCCAAGGGCTGGGGTTCCTCTCTTAACGCGTGCTCGCACAGGGCAAAAAGTCAGATCACCCATTAAATAGGTAAAATTGTATCCACCAGTAACTGTAAGAGAGAAAACCCAAGCAGATGAAGCCTGAGCAAAGTTAAATGTTCTCTTTCCTCTCCCATCACTTCTTGCTGCGGTCAGTGAAGTGCACAGAGCTCACAGGTTCAGACTTCACACCACAATAAGATTGTTACCTGTGTCACACAAACATCTGCAGAAAAATGACTGTGCCAAGATCCTGTGCTTGCTCTGCTCCATTTTCCACCCTTCTGCTTTCTCTCCCTCTAACTTTGTGCTTCTCCAACCCTCTTACTGCATTTCTTAGCCTTGGTTTTGGCTTTTTCAGATTAACTTCCACACAACCTTTCACCCACTGCAACAGTCAGTTCCCAAAGGCATGTGATGAGTCACCACGAGCTTGGGCAAAAAAATGTAAAGACTTTGGACTGATGATGCTTCCACCTTCCTTACACTGGGTCAAGCTATCTACAGACTTACTGAATTTCACAGTACATACCTTGTTTCATAACTGAAAAGTTAACAGTTACCTATTTGGTTTCTGTGTGGTTGATTTAAAGCAAAACAAAATGCTGCAGGATCTAAGCACAAGAAGGAGCCCAACTATTTATAACTGTGAAAGCACAGAAAGCTGGGTCATATGGGCCTAATTCTGCACTTCTCACTCCTATAGGGACACACATCAAAGACACCATTATGAACCAGAGATTACCTGTCCAAGTAAGAATTTACATCTCATGTACTTTAATTTCTAGGATTAACGTTTATTTTTTGTTGGCCACCAGCGAAAATTTACCTTAGAATTCCTAAAGCTGAACAAAGTTCCATGACTTCAGACATCTTTTTTAATGCTTTGGCCAGTCTATAAACCACATCCATTGTCCTTCCTCATATTTTAAGTACTTCTGGAAGCCACTGAAATGGAAGCAACTTCATACCCTTATCTGACATAGCCATATCCCTACACTTGCACCTGATTTTCAGAGTTACATTTTAGGTTTGTTCTGTTTGAACTTGATTGCCAAATAGGGGATAAGGAAGGGAAACTCCTCAGAACTGCTTACAAAACTGATCCTTAGGAAGACAAAGATTTTGTTGAGCTCTCTGTATTGACCATACCAGGGCAAACTCCTCTACAGAGACAAAACTTTCATCCACACATGGAGTTACACCACTGTTCCAAATGATGCAAGACACATCAGAAAAGCATCTTTTTTTCAGAACTTTCTGGATGGTTTAAGCACTGCTGTACAGGGCTCTCTGCAGTGCAGCCACAGCTATGCTGGCATGGGACAGGACCTTCTTCATGCACAGGTGTAGCCGTGCAACAGAACTCTGCACTAAGGTCTTAATGATTGCTTCATTTTGTATTACCGTATTTTTTAAACCTTTAAACTTTTTTAAACCTTTAAAAAGCTTTCCACTCGTTAATGTCATTCTTCCAATTTGTTTCTAGCTAACACTCATCCCAGCCTTTGGTGGCTTCCTGGGTTCTCAGCCAAGTCCCTCAGGTAGCAGCTCTTCCCCTGTCGAGGCTGACACAGGCTGCTCCCAGCTGTCACCAGCTGACTTGTGGCACTTGTAAATCACTGCTCTCCTCTGCACTTCCGAAAGCACTTGTGGTGAAGAGAAGGACCGCCACAGGAACCCAGTCTGGTCAGGAGGTGAAGTCACCAGAGCAGCGCCCACACGGGCAGCAGCCGCCGGAGCCACGGTGCCTGAGCCCCGTTGTGGGAGGTTTGACTCCACACACAAGCCCTGCTGCAGCCTGCTGCTGGTTGCTTGCCCTCCTGTCTGTGCAGAAATGCTGGTTACACTTATCTGCTAATGATGAAAAACATGATGAGCTTGGTGAAAAACAGGTAGAAGAATCTGGGACTTCATAACAGTTGGACTCAGGGGTCTTTCCCAGCCTAAAGGATTCTATTGTAATCCTGCCTTTGGCTGTCCCACCATCCTGAGCACAGCAGCAGCTCTGCTGGTTACAAGGCTTGACAGAAAACCCCAAGTTACATTATTAACAAAATATAGCCCTCCTTCAAATTTGTGGCCAATTTCAACTTTTCTGTTACCAAGATAAAAGCAGTGAAGTTTCTCACAAAGCTGTGAGAATATACAGCTTTGTGAGTTCACTCTGGCTAAGCACAGATGGAGCTTTAAAATTCTTTCAAATGATGATTTTTCTTATATGTGATCCAACATCAATTTCAGACAAAGTTCTGATCCAAAGGAAAAACACCAGTAATTGTTACAAGCTGCACAAAACCCACCAATTAAATTCCAGAAAGAACAACTACCAGGCAAAATGTAGGAAGAGATTAAAATGCAAGAAATCACTATTTCACAACTATTTTTCATACAGCTATAGCTTACAATCAGCCCATTTCGTACGTCCATCAGGTACTGATGTTAAAATGACCCACTACATCTATCAATTTTAACAATTTATATATATATATATATATAAATCCTTCACTTAAATGCCTCAGATTCCAATTAAGTCTCACAACAAAACCCCAAAACCCTGGAGGTCCCTGCTCTTACAATCTTTAACATACAGAG